ATTCTATCAAAAATGTTTTTTTGTTCTGTGTATTATATTATCATAACCTTTACGACGGAGTTAGATATAAAATTCACTCTTAGAAAACAAATTCAAAATTTATATAAATAATTTTCTTTTTTACTTTATAAGTCAATTTATAAAAAATTAAATTGAAGACAAAAAAAATTATCATAATATTACCTAAATCTAAAAACCACCAAAAATATATTATAAAAAAAATCAAAATCTCACGTAATACAATCAAATTTCACTGTAAGGTGCCATCTTACTACTTTTGGTAATTGTTACAATTCATTTAATTTTAAGTTAAATATTGACCAATCCACCTGCTTCATTCAACTCTTAACTATATACCTATTATTTGTTTCTTTCTACCTGTCCTCATTACGAATAACCAGCATGAATATCATTTATCAAAATCCACATTTTCTTTGTTAATTCAAGTCTCACCGTCACAAATATTAATGAATCATGATGAAGTAAGAAAACTGAAACAGTATAGTAAATTAAGTTTCCTTTGAAGAACAAAAGTTTATGAAATTGCTAACAATATAGGATGAATGAATATACAGATATATAGTGAGACAGAGATTATACATCACAGTGAGTGATGAAGCTCTTTGATATACAATTGAAGAACTTGAGCTACATAGAAGAACACAAAGAAAAGGAGACAAGGAGGGACAGATAAAGAGAGAGAAAGTATACAGACAAAAGTATCAGTCACCCCAAATAATTAACCAACAAAGACAAAGGAACCAAACATAATCCCCTTTTCTTCAACTCTGTGCAATCACCATTCTTTCCATTATACTTTAATTTATCATCTCTCTTCTGATCTGAATAATGCTCTGATGATTTCAACCCCTTACCCTACGCAATCATCATCATCAAACCATACATACAATTTGTCAGCAAAAAACTCGTTTCTTCCCTCAAATCATCATCAAAAGTATTATATATATTAATCCAGGTTTACCAGTTCATCATCATCGTCATCTTTTCTAGAACTCATTTCAGCTGGATTCAAGTCTCTCACCTTCAGACAGTAATCAGTAAAGATATTACAAGAAAAGGCATATATCATTGGTGAAGTGAGAAAGGAAAAGAAAAATAAAAATCATTTTTTTCTTTTTTTTTCTTCAACCCTCTTGTCAAATTCAGCATGTCATCCTTATAACTCGGATTATTATAAAAAAAAGATGATAAAAATCATACCTTGGGACTATTGACAGGAGAGCTAGCAGTGTCTTCCAAAGGGTCATCTTCTGATATCTGTTTGGCTCTTGCTTTCTTGAAGGTCAACTTTTTGGGTGGATTTGGGGCCTTGAAAGAGGGAGAAGAAAGAAGATGATGATGATGATGATGATTGTGGTGAGAAAATTTCCATGCAGCAGAAGAAGCAGCATCTGAGAGCAAAGATGAACCATCCAAACTGGAACAATAACTGGGTTCTATGCCTTTTGAGAAGTCTTCAAAGTAAGATGTCCATCCACTTTCTCCATCAGAACCGCTTGGTTTTCTGCTTCCACCAACTATGCCCCTTGATGAACAATTCAGAGAATGAATCCATTAGTCAAACTCTAACAACACCACCATATATTACTATATAGAGCTCCACAATAATAATAATAATAGTAATCATATATACAACTTATAATAAGAACAATTATGAGTAGAATATCAATATCAATACTCCTTTCATATTTTCTTTATTTCTCTATCTTTTAAAATAATAAAAGAAATTATTTTTCACTACAAATTAAAATAATAAAAGAAATTATTTATATTATTGAAAATGTGAAATTATTTTATATTATATGAATTTATAAAATTAAATTAAACTTAAAATTCACTTACATTCAAAGTTTATTTATGAATAGTTTATATTAGCATTGTTGATGATATATGTTTCGGTTAGTATGGTTGAAAATTATACCTTCATATTTTAAATCAATTCACTTTGTTCAGTTTATTTTTCCTTTTCTAATATTTTGTTAAATTTTCTTTAGTAAAGTCTAAATCTGAGTGGGTATATATCTATTAAAGATATTCTTACTCTGATACTCAAGCCAGTTTTCAGTTATACAATTGATTATCACAGTTAAGTCTTAAATATCCAATAAATATAATACCTACTTCCTTATCTTGTCTCTGTATTTATAGGTTCTGAAATTAACTTTTATTTAGGACTGACCCAATCACAATTCAATGTCTTATAAACATATTTTACCTTACTAATTATCTTGAAATTTTCTTAATATATGAGATATTGATCGATCACTGATGTCAATAGTAACCGATTGATCTATGTTGTTTAGAAAGTTTCGAAAGATTGACCAATAATTCACTTTGAGGTTGTGGTGACCAGTCGATTTATACAATACAATATAAAACTGTGATACATGGAAAGTGCATTATTAAACATGAAAAAGTAAACATGTTATAAATGCATTCTCATAACTGTATATGAACATATAATTAGTGATGAATATAAAATAAAAAATTGAGGAATTTAACCGACTTAATATGCGAGATTCCCCTACCCTAAATTTAATTTTAATTTGGTATTTTCCTAATGCAAGTGAATAGTTTTAATAATAATGTTTGGTGAGAGGTTGAGGAGAGGTTTGGTAGAAAGATAACCGAAAGTTAGAGTGAAGAATGGAGAAAAAGAGAAGAGATGCATACCGTAGATTCTTGAGGTGGGACAGAGGGTGTTTAAGAAGTTAAAGTAACAGTTGAAACTCTAACTGAAAACCAAACATAGAAAGATAGAAAGAGGAGAGAAGAAAAACACAAAAACAAAAGAAAACAAATTGCAGATAGAGAAACAGTTGACCTTTGCTGTTCGAAAGCATGCTGTTTTACATTTTCTCCTCAGGAGTGCTATGGGGACGTTATTGCCCTATTTTCGTTGAAACATAAATAATAAAATAGAAGGGGAAAAATAAATTAGTGTGACAAATGATGTAATGAAAAAGAAAAGTATGGATCAAAGTCAAAGGAAAAAAAAACTGAATATATCCAATGGTAAATATATTTTTAAGTAAGAGTTTATTAAGTACAAAAAGACAGTTGAGTATTTTTGTAAAGGAAAAACTTATGGGTCTATTATGAAGATATTTTACTGTATATGGTGTCAAGTTTTTTTTTTTTAACGTAAATCTCATAATGTTTTGATTTTTCTTTTAGTCATTAGTAGTATTAGAAACGAATATTCGTCTTAGTTTTTAAATGAAGTTAAAGATTGCTATTTGGTTAGTTCATAGTATCGGTTGATTTTATTGGGTAATTAATATGTAACAATGACCGTTTATATGATTTTATTATTATTACTTTTGTATCGAATTTAAAATTTTATTTAAAAAATTGATTATTTTATACTTGTTATTTTTAAGTATTTTTGAAATTATTTTGTGAAGATTCCATATTATATTAAGAATTTAAGTGTGAGTTGAAGTTTTCAAATTGAAGATAAATGAACAAATTGAGTGGTATGAAAGAAAAATAAGATCTATAAATATTAGTCTTAAGATTTTAGGTTGAGAAAATGATGTTAGGTTTTTTATATAGGTAACTCATATATCATTGATAGTAAATTTTTCCAGCCTGATCTAGTAAAGAATTTTAATAGTGTTATCAAAGTTGATGATTTGTTTTGGTTCTTAGTTTAGACAAAGACAAATATGTCTCATTGTAGTAAGACTGGATCACATTAGAGTTAGTAGAAGTGTGTTGAAATAAAAGGAAGGGATGTTAGAAACCACTCAAAATCCAACTCATTTGTGGGGAAGATTGTTATCCAAGTATGAGTTGAGAGTCTTACCTTGAGTAAAAATAATATATATATATATATATATATATATATATATATATATATATGGACGAGCACAAAGATGGACAGGGGACCTAACGAATCTGGTAGCTATAATACTACAAGATTCGGAGATTCGCAATGTGTAAGAGGTGTCCAACTGTATAGCTGTACTTTGGAACTGCGACTAATTATGTGGCCATGTACGACAATATTATGTTTAGAATATCAAGTATAAAACTTCCTAAGTTGGTATAGATATTTCATATTCTTTTGTACTACAAAATATTTTAAAATTCAAAAATTAATCCATTAATTAATAAAACTATTAATAATTAATTATCTATCTAAAATAAAAGAAAAAGTTGAAAATAATAAAAAATGTATCAAACTATTAAAAATTGGAATGAACTAAACTTTTAAAACAAACTATTTTAATACACTACAATAAACTAGATTAACTAGTAGGCTAATCAAATAAATTAGTATAACATCACCCTAAACACGGAAAGAGTAATCACTTTTGACAACTATTTCATATTTAAAGTAACATCATTAAAAAAGTGGTTAAAGTGGTTCTTATATCAGTTGTTTAAAATAAACAAATATCACTACCTAATAATTAGATTTATTTTATAATTCCCAATTTTCTGGGGAAATTTCAGCCTCAACTTAGCGACACCGCCCGAGAAAGGCAAACATTATGATTTGGCTTCGTTCTGCATATATTTAATTTACTTTTAAAATCAGAAGAAATGGACCCACATTAAATAATTTCAGTCCAAATTATGCCCCTGCGTGTTCTAATAATTTATTTTCTCATTTTTCATTCGTTCTTTATTAATATATACTGTTTACAAAATTAAACAATTTGATACCACACTAGGCCACAAGTACAACAAACATTTTTTATCTTATCAGTGAGAAAGAAAGGTAGCATTGCATGAGATAAATGAAAAAGCACACCCTAGATACTGAGCCATACTGACATAATAATGCATGGCCACACCATACTGAAATGTAAAACACCGACAGTCAACCAAATGAGAAAATGTGCAATGAAATGTAACGATAGCAATGTGCTCAAATGAGACCATTATCAAGAAAAATTAACCAACTCATACGGCTCGTAAACACAACTAGTTGAAACAACTGATACGAAGCCGATGAAATAGATAAAATCAAAACATTAAAATAAACTTTACATAAACCATCTGTGTATATTAAACTCCATCTGGCAAACTGATTCCTTGAACATAATAAATTCAGTAGACAAGCAAAATAAAAAAAGAGAGTTGTAATATTAAAAATATCGGATAGACAGTACAAATGTCCAAGGAGATCTCAACCGCGTCGGAGTTCTAGTGCCCGTATTTCTGAAACTCCCACTCACTGTTATCTGTACAGGTACAAAAACACAAGTTAGAAGTGCACTTCTTAATCTATAAAGGAGGATGAAGGATCCACGTCTGCATACCTAGAGGACAAACTTGACGAGTCTTGAGCCATCGACTAATGCAGTGGAAGTGAAAAGCATGGTTACAAACGCCTGTATAAAGTAGCAGTTTGAGTAATTCAGTGCAAACTAGAAAAATACTAACAAACATAGAAGCCCACATTACTATTCTTTTAAGTCCCAGCTAAACTGAAATAGCACAACATTTTTACTCATGACACGAAGAAATAACCTACACATGATTATTCCAAAATTAAAAAAAAAGGTAAAGAGTTTACAACATTGCGATAATCTAGAAATACCAAAACGTTACTGGAGACAAAGTATATTTTGTCCCACAAAAATGAAGGGTCCAACATTATTTTGTCCATCTCAATGTTATTAACACGTATTTCCATTTTTTTCATGATGGAACCAAACAATGGAATGGAAGCATCCCTTGGTAACTCCTTCACTTCTCTCACTTCCTTTCTTTTCTTTAATAGGAACCCTTTCCGTTTCCTCCTTCGTACCCAAAAGCCTGAAGGTCATCATAATCATAATAATTCACATATCTGACTCTTATAAACCACAATTCCAAGGGTCAAGAAAGTACGATTAATTTAGAAGCTGCAAGAACTTGAATAAAAAGGTGTGGCCACATTCTTGCAGGACAACTCATGGTGATTGTCTCATAGAGTCGTACTGAGCATATAAAAATCCATGATCTCTATACTCCTAAAAAAATATAAGGTACAGAAACCTTAAATATAACCAAAATACAATATATGATGTGTTTGGCAATAACTGCCAGTATCTCCATTAGTTCTAAAGTGCAGAGCAACATATCCCATTGGTTAGATGTTTACTGTTGAACTTATGGGCTACGCAATATCAATATGATTGTTCTTGAAATAAAAAAAAAAAAGGTTATTTCCTATTCAAATCATAAACTGCTAGGACAAATATGATGGAAACACTACTTTTAATGTTTCTTAAGCAAATTCTAATTCATTTTGCCTATAAATAAGCATATTTTTCATGGCTTACTTTTGTGACCATTTGCGTCAGAGGTGAGAGGATTGCCAATTAGATAAGATGGACATCTAATCTAGTACACTTCATAGCCATAGCAGAACGAGGCAAAGGAAGTGCCACAAGATTGAGCAGTCAAATTGAAAATAAACGCTAAATTTAATAGTCGTAGTACAATAGTATACGCAAGATACTGAATTTGCTTCAGTTTAATAGATGGCGAAACATAAAATGGGGAGGAAATAATAAACGCAAGATACGCAAAATACAGTCTCAATTGGTAACGTTAAACAATGAAATATCAAAACATTAACTCAAACTAGCTTGCGTCCACCCTCCTAGAGTAAAAAACACCTTTTATCTCCTCCCTCAAGATCAAGGGCCCAATAACAACCTTACTTTGAGATAAAGGTTTTGATTCTTCAGTCAAATTATATATGCTTTAATTTGTCATATATTAATGATAATACGCCCACTTTGAACATGACAGCAGCATCAACTTACCCTCTCTTAAGTAAGAACAAACTTCCAACATATTTTCTTGTAGTAGATATTAAAGAACTCCAACCAAAGAATGTTTTATCAATTTTGTACCGACCTCAAATCTGTTGAGTTCACATCGATAGGATCAATTATCACATCTGAATCAATTATCACATCCAACTTTGGAGCTTCAAAAAGGCATCTCGGAGGATGGGAGGACGAAAAGGGAAAAGTGTATTTAAACAAACTTTGACCTTAACTCTAAGTTATATGGAACTATTAGAACTATTGGGGGTACACATGAAGCCCCTGTCCCCAATCAAGAGATAGGAGAGTTTTTGTTCCCTTAAAAAAGGCCAATGTTCCGATAGGATCAATCACTACGTTGGAGGTATTGTTCGTCTTAGAAAAAGATATCGAAGGAGGAGGTGTATTTAAACTGACCTAGCTCGGCTAGTAAGCTAGGTAGAACTATTGGACGTACAAACAATTTTAATTTTAAATTATAATACTCCTACAATCATATCTACCTTCCTCAACCCTAAGGTAAAACAGACAGATGGATATCAAGCATTCTAAAAACCTATTTCAAATCAAATCAGCAATTAGAGCGAATCAAAAACATACCCCACGCCACTGTGCATTCTTCGCTAGTTGCGCTGGCCTGGTTGGCTTGGCACTCGATGCCTGAAATCAGGGACCAAAAATTCAAAAGCGGAACGAATCGCTTCAAATTGAAAAACAGTTTTCGATTGAAAGAACGCGCTTACATAGATCCATGATGTGGTTCCGGCAGATGGCACAGTTATCGACAACGATGTCTGCAAGAAATAAAGAAAAAATAGTGAGAAGAAAAAAACACGGGAAAAATTAGGGTTTAAGGAGAAAACAAATACCCCAAGCCCAGAGTGCGACCGCGTTCCACTTTTTGATCTCGAAACGCTTGGGCTTCTTGGAAGACGGTCCGGCGCTGCTCGATGCCTCGCCGGCCGGAATCATTGGCACGTCGGAATCAAGAGTCGCCATACCCCTTTCTAACGGTAGGAACTGTGGGTGATTTGTTCAGTGCTTTCTTCAATTGAATCAACAGTGGTGTATAAAGGTCTTCTACGTTTCTAACAACAACTTTTTAATGGATTGGGCTACCGTTTTTATTTACTGGGCCTGTTACGATTGGGCCTCATCCTTCTTTTATTGAAGAACTAGGAGCTTTTTCCCGCACCCCGTACATCCATAACTTTCTTCCTGTATTTTCATATAATTTTCTTTTTCATTTTCCTTATTTTTTAAATTGTATTATTTAAAAGTAATTTATTTTTTAGTTTTGGAGTATGTAACCAGAAGTTAAAAATGAATTTCAAACAGCATAATTCAAAAATAAAAAATAACTTAAAAAATAAATAATTTTGGGAGTACGTAATTCAAAAGTTATCTTATTTAGAAAAAAATGACTTACTAAATGACACAGATAAGAAGTCATTTTTGGCTTCACATCACATAATGCTGCGAAAGCTTTTTTATTTGTGGATTTTACAAGCTTAAGAGCTTTCGAATCGTGCGATCTAAAAATTATTTTTTATTTCTGGATTATATAATAAAAAGGACAAAATGAAAAGTTTATTTTATGTTAAATGCATGAAAAAACTTATGGAGGTGCAAGAAGAAACTACCCTGTTAAATTTTTGGTCATATTCTTTTCCATTACAAAAAGCCCATTCCTGAACGAAAGCAAGCAAGCTGCAAAATAATTTCGTATAGTTGTTAAAAATAAATCTTATATTATGGGTTCTGGGTAGCACAGAATTTTCCTTTATATTCAATTCCAAATGAACTGAAGATATTTTAGGAAAAGTTTTTTTTTATTAGAATATTTTATTAATAATTATATATACATAAATATTAAATTCTGCTAATGAAATTAATTTTTTTTTATTAATATCACCAACTACTGATTTCGAATTTGAAATATCTCAGATATACATTGACATTAAATACTATAAAAATAAAAGTTGTCTCTCACACAAAAATTTGTCTCTACAAAAAAGAAATTTTATTGAATTGACTATATTTACAATTTTTTAACAAATTCTTATTTAAATAAAGTCAATTTAACGTATAATATGGTTTAAAAATAGAAGTAAATATTGGCAATAAACTAAGAAACCATGTATATAAGAGATTTTGTTTGGTTGAGTTTTTAACTGACAAAACTATATTTTTGGATTTTGAGTTGCGTGAAAGGAAATAGAAGAAAAGTTGGGAAGGAATAAAATTTGTACAGAACATTAATTCTTTAGAAAATCTAATTTATGAAGGAAATCATTTATTGTAGGGAAATAAAGTGCACGAAATCACTTTCTTCATTGAATCCTATTATAGTTGTTCTATCATGAGTTGTGTAGAATCCACATCCTACCAACGCCTAGACAGAAGAAAGAAGATTTAAATTTCATAATAAATCTTCTACCTACGATATCTGTTTCTATAACAAGGCATTAAAAGAAGTGTGAAGCATAAATTTAAGATCATTCAATTAATGTTCAATGCAAAGATTTAGTTCTATTAAATACCCTTTCAAATATCGATATTACGTTGACATTTAACTATTTCTCTTCTTCTCCTTATCTCTTACCCTCATTAGTTTTTCAACACACTACTACATAACAAATATAACATAATAATCATAAAAAAATGTGATACAAGTACATTATTCTAAACCTATGGATCAACCTATTAAACAAAATGTGTGTTTACTTTTTTTATTTTTAGAGTGGAATGGTTTTGACCTTAAAAATAAATAAATATATATTTACTTATTTATTTATTTTAATTATTTATTAAAAGAATACTTTTATATTTTATAATGATTTTTAAAGAATCAATATACACTAAAAAATAATTGTTTTTAGCTAAGGTTATATATTTAGCGTTTATGAGGTTTTAACCCACTAAATGTGTTTTCTGTAATTTGTCATTTTTCTAGAAGAGCCAACGTCATTAATAAATTATCTGAAATTTTTAGTAATCCTTGGAATTAGCACAATTTATCAACGGTTCAGGGAATTCTTGGTATTGCTTGGGGTTGAAACCCATTATCGCCTGGGATTTGAAACCCTATTATTGGAAGCGATTTAAATATTTTTTATTGGAAGATTCTTATTTGATTTGTTTCGTATTTTTTAATAATACATAAATCCTTAGATAAAAGAAAATTTATAAAAGGCAAGGATTTTAGATTTTTGGTGTTTATAATTTGTATATATCATTCATAAAAGAAACAAAGAGAGAAACCTACCATTTTAATAGCAAATAATGTAAATGACAAGGCGTAAAAATTAAAATTAGTAAGTCATTACACTTTTGTTCTAAATAAGAAAAACAGACATAATGAAAAATTAAAAAAATATTTGTCTAATGTAGTGCATGATGTTGATAAATTGTATTTTTGTTAGGAATATTTCCTTGATTAGATACTTGACATATAAAAAAATGATAATTGATAACTTTCTAAACAATAATATAAACATATATTAGTTTAATCAAGATTAAATATTACACGTGCACACATAGTAAAATCACGAGGTAACTCTCTTTGATAATTTTGCAAAAAAATAAAATAATCATTTCTTTCATTTTATTTACTTGGGATTTCAACGTTGAAACTTGGTTTAAAACACAAAAATAGTTAAAATAGTGAAAATAACTTATTTTGTAATACAACATTATTAAAATTAAAAAATTATTAACCTCATTTTGTAACTATGCACTAGAAGGATAACTTGAAGATGAGCTAAAATCAATATTTCATCATCTAAAGGATTGTTCCCTTCTAAATACTTTATATGAGAGTTATCAATATTTATCAAATTTGTTTCTATCTAATGAAGCACTATTGGATCAAATGACAAAGACGTTATTAAGAAAAGGATGACTTTTCCCAAATGAGATAGTTGTTGCTAGCTGCTCAAATAATGAAGCATCGATTTAATTAAATAACTAAAAACAATAGATAGACCTTTCTTTCTCTTCGTCTTAGGTCGATGGATCTTCTCACTTGAAAGATCTCCTATATCGATAAAACACATTCTAGTTGGCTAAGCCTAATTCAAATTGTTTTTGTTCTGAAGCAAAGATATCCACAGGGCGATTTGTCCTATGTAGATATTCACAATCTAGAAGTATTGATTTTTTTTTGGATAGGCCCTAAAAGGAGAAGAAAGATTGAAATGCCAATAGGCGTTTATATTTTGAATTCACTTGACCCGAAAGTACACTATCCATTTAGGGAATGTTCAATGCCAAAGCCATTGAATGGGTAAGTCGTAAATTCCTAAAACGAAATATTTAATGTACTTTATCCATCCGCTAGGCTACGAGTGGGGTATTTTACTAGAGGTTTTTAATGTATGAATCTACCCTTATGTGATTCTTATTGAAGCATTTACTCCTCGGAGAAAGTAGGGTGCAGGCGGATAATTTCAAAACCAATTACCCATTCATTAGATAGGAAGATCACCAAAACTATCGAACTTATTCCAGTTCAATAAGAGATCTCAATATTATGCCTTGAAGAGAACTTGAACCTTCATGCTTTTTAGCACGAGATTTTGAGTGTCACATTTCTACAATTTCACCACCAAGGCCTTTTTAAAGTAAATATCATATCCCAAGAATATGATATTTATTTAGTGTGAAGTATGGAATATATCACAAAGGTAGAGTGTTGGAGTCTTTTTATTGATTTGTCATGTCATATAGGTCGAAGTCGGACATCTAATTGGTTCTATTCGAATTATCCATAGGATATCTTCTTACCTATCTATATAGATAGATATAGATATTCTATAAAAAAAATGGACTAATTAAATTTATTTATCAATTCAATAGAAGCCTAGAGAGATTAATTGAAAAGGGTCCTACATAATAAGATAAGTGAAAAATAGGTCTAATTATGCCTATTACTTATCCTCAATAGAACGGATGTAGAGATATATTTGTAGACATAATATCTATTTAGATACGCTCAAATGAACTCTTCTCATAATGAGAATGTATATAATCCCATTTCGATTAGGTCCAATATAAAATTGAACTTAGAATCATGGAATCGACTCAATCATTNCTTTTATCTCCTCCCTCAAGATCAAGGGCCCAATAACAACCTTGCTTTGAGATAAAGGTTTTGATTCTTCAGTCAAATTATATATGCTTTAATTTGTCATATATTAATGATAATACGCCCACTTTGAACATGACAGCAGCATCAACTTACCCTCTCTTAAGTAAGAACAAACTTCCAACATATTTTCTTGTAGTAGATATTAAAGAACTCCAACCAAAGAATGTTTTATCGATTTTGTACCGACCTCAAATCTGTTGAGTTCACATCGATAGGATCAATTATCACATCTGAATCAATTATCACATCCAACTTTGGAGCTTCAAAAAGGCATCTCGGAGGATGGGAGGACGAAAAGGGAAAAGTGTATTTAAACAAACTTTGACCTTAACTCTAAGTTATATGGAACTATTAGAACTATTGGGGGTACACATGAAGCCCCTGTCCCCAATCAAGAGATAGGAGAGTTTTTGTTCCCTTAAAAAAGGCCAATGTTCCGATAGGATCAATCACTACGTTGGAGGTATTGTTCGTCTTAGAAAAAGATATCGAAGGAGGAGGTGTATTTAAACTGACCTAGCTCGGCTAGTAAGCTAGGTAGAACTATTGGACGTACAAACAATTTTAATTTTAAATTATAATACTCCTACAATCATATCTACCTTCCTCAACCCTAAGGTAAAACAGACAGATGGATATCAAGCATTCTAAAAACCTATTTCAAATCAAAACAGCAATTAGAGCGAATCAAAAACATACCCCACGCCACTGTGCATTCTTCGCTAGTTGCGCTGGCCTGGTTGGCTTGGCACTCGATGCCTGAAATCAGGGACCAAAAATTCAAAAGCGGAACGAATCGCTTCAAATTGAAAAACAGTTTTCGATTGAAAGAACGCGCTTACATAGATCCATGATGTGGTTCCGGCAGATGGCACAGTTATCGACAACGATGTCTGCAAGAAATAAAGAAAAAATAGTGAGAAGAAAAAAACACGGGAAAAATTAGGGTTTAAGGAGAAAACAAATACCCCAAGCCCAGAGTGCGACCGCGTTCCACTTTTTGATCTCGAAACGCTTGGGCTTCTTGGAAGACGGTCCGGCGCTGCTCGATGCCTCGCCGGCCGGAATCATTGGCACGTCGGAATCAAGAGTCGCCATACCCCTTTCTAACGGTAGGAACTGTGGGTGATTTGTTCAGTGCTTTCTTCAATTGAATCAACAATGGTGTATAAAGGTCTTCTACGTTTCTAACAACAACTTTTTAATGGATTGGGCTACCGTTTTTATTTACTGGGCCTGTTACGATTGGGCCTCATCCTTCTTTTATTGAAGAACTAGGAGCTTTTTCCCGCACCCCGTACATCCATAACTTTCTTCCTGTATTTTCATATAATTTTCTTTTTCATTTTCCTTATTTTTTAAATTGTATTATTTAAAAGTAATTTATTTTTTAGTTTTGGAGTATGTAACCAGAAGTTAAAAATGAATTTCAAACAGCATAATTCAAAAATAAAAAATAACTTAAAAAATAAATAATTTTGGGAGTACGTAATTCAAAAGTTATCTTATTTAGAAAAAAATGACTTACTAAATGACACAGATAAGAAGTCATTTTTGGCTTCACATCACATAATGCTGCGAAAGCTTTTTTATTTGTGGATTTTACAAGCTTAAGAGCTTTCGAATCGTGCGATCTAAAAATTATTTTTTATTTCTGGATTATATAATAAAAAGGACAAAATGAAAAGTTTATTTTATGTTAAATGCATGAAAAAACTTATGGAGGTGCAAGAAGAAACTACCCTGTTAAATTTTTGGTCATATTCTTTTCCATTACAAAAAGCCCATTCCTGAACGAAAGCAAGCAAGCTGCAAAATAATTTCGTATAGTTGTTAAAAATAAATCTTATATTATGGGTTCTGGGTAGCACAGAATTTTCCTTTATATTCAATTCCAAATGAACTGAAGATATTTTAGGAAAAGTTTTTTTTTATTAGAATATTTTATTAATAATTATATATACATAAATATTAAATTCTGCTAATGAAATTAATTTTTTTTTATTAATATCACCAACTACTGATTTCGAATTTGAAATATCTCAGATATACATTGACATTAAATACTATAAAAATAAAAGTTGTCTCTCACACAAAAATTTGTCTCTACAAAAAAGAAATTTTATTGAATTGACTATATTTACAATTTTTTAACAAATTCTTATTTAAATAAAGTCAATTTAACGTATAATATGGTTTAAAAATAGAAGTAAATATTGGCAATAAACTAAGAAACCATGTATATAAGAGATTTTGTTTGGTTGAGTTTTTAACTGACAAAACTATATTTTTGGATTTTGAGTTGCGTGAAAGGAAATAGAAGAAAAGTTGGGAAGGAATAAAATTTGTACAGAACATTAATTCTTTAGAAAATCTAATTTATGAAGGAAATCATTTATTGTAGGGAAATAAAGTGCACGAAATCACTTTCTTCATTGAATCCTATTATAGTTGTTCTATCATGAGTTGTGTAGAATCCACATCCTACCAACGCCTAGACAGAAGAAAGAAGATTTAAATTTCATAATAAATCTTCTACCTACGATATCTGTTTCTATAACAAGGCATTAAAAGAAGTGTGAAGCATAAATTTAAGATCATTCAATTAATGTTCAATGCAAAGATTTAGTTCTATTAAATACCCTTTCAAATATCGATATTACGTTGACATTTAACTATTTCTCTTCTTCTCCTTATCTCTTACCCTCATTAGTTTTTCAACACACTACTACATAACAAATATAACATAATAATCATAAAAAAATGTGATACAAGTACATTATTCTAAACCTATGGATCAACCTATTAAACAAAATGTGTGTTTACTTTTTTTATTTTTAGAGTGGAATGGTTTTGACCTTAAAAATAAATAAATATATATTTACTTATTTATTTATTTTAATTATTTATTAAAAGAATACTTTTATATTTTATAATGATTTTTAAAGAATCAATATACACTAAAAAATAATTGTTTTTAGCTAAGGTTATATATTTAGCGTTTATGAGGTTTTAACCCACTAAATGTGTTTTCTGTAATTTGTCATTTTTCTAGAAGAGCCAACGTCATTAATAAATTATCTGAAATTTTTAGTAATCCTTGGAATTAGCACAATTTATCAACGGTTCAGGGAATTCTTGGTATTGCTTGGGGTTGAAACCCATTATCGCCTGGGATTTGAAACCCTATTATTGGAAGCGATTTAAATATTTTTTATTGGAAGATTCTTATTTGATTTGTTTCGTATTTTTTAATAATACATAAATCCTTAGATAAAAGAAAATTTATAAAAGGCAAGGATTTTAGATTTTTGGTGTTTATAATTTGTATATATCATTCATAAAAGAAACAAAGAGAGAAACCTACCATTTTAATAGCAAATAATGTAAATGACAAGGCGTAAAAATTAAAATTAGTAAGTCATTACACTTTTGTTCTAAATAAGAAAAACAGACATAATGAAAAATTAAAAAAATATTTGTCTAATGTAGTGCATGATGTTGATAAATTGTATTTTTGTTAGGAATATTTCCTTGATTAGATACTTGAAATATAAAAAAATGATAATTGATAACTTTCTAAACAATAATATAAACATATATTAGTTTAATCAAGATTAAATATTACACGTGCACACATAGTAAAATCACGAGGTAACTCTCTTTGATAATTTTGCAAAAAAATAAAATAATCATTTCTTTCATTTTATTTACTTGGGATTTCAACGTTGAAACTTGGTTTAAAACACAAAAATAGTTAAAATAGTGAAAATAACTTATTTTGTAATACAACATTATTAAAATTAAAAAATTATTAACCTCATTTTGTAACTATGCACTAGAAGGATAACTTGAAGATGAGCTAAAATCAATATTTCATCATCTAAAGGATTGTTCCCTTCTAAATACTTTATATGAGAGTTATCAATATTTATCAAATTTGTTTCTATCTAATGAAGCACTATTGGATCAAATGACAAAGACGTTATTAAGAAAAGGATGACTTTTCCCAAATGAGATAGTTGTTGCTAGCTGCTCAAATAATGAAGCATCGATTTAATTAAATAACTAAAAACAATAGATAGACCTTTCTTTCTCTTCGTCTTAGGTCGATGGATCTTCTCACTTGAAAGATCTCCTATATCGATAAAACACATTCTAGTTGGCTAAGCCTAATTCAAATTGTTTTTGTTCTGAAGCAAAGATATCCACAGGGCGATTTGTCCTATGTAGATATTCACAATCTAGAAGTATTGATTTTTTTTTGGATAGGCCCTAAAAGGAGAAGAAAGATTGAAATGCCAATAGGCGTTTATATTTTGAATTCACTTGACCCGAAAGTACACTATCCATTTAGGGAATGTTCAATGCCAAAGCCATTGAATGGGTAAGTCGTAAATTCCTAAAACGAAATATTTAATGTACTTTATCCATCCGCTAGGCTACGAGTGGGGTATTTTACTAGAGGTTTTTAATGTATGAATCTACCCTTATGTGATTCTTATTGAAGCATTTACTCCTCGGAGAAAGTAGGGTGCAGGCGGATAATTTCAAAACCAATTACCCATTCATTAGATAGGAAGATAACCAAAACTATCGAACTTATTCCAGTTCAATAAGAGATCTCAATATTATGCCTTGAAGAGAACTTGAACCTTCATGCTTTTTAGCACGAGATTTTGAGTGTCACATTTCTACAATTTCACCACCAAGGCCTTTTTAAAGTAAATATCATATCCCAAGAATATGATATTTATTTAGTGTGAAGTATGGAATATATCACAAAGGTAGAGTGTTGGAGTCTTTTTATTGATTTGTCATGTCATATAGGTCGAAGTCGGACATCTAATTGGTTCTATTCGAATTATCCATAGGATATCTTCTTACCTATCTATATAGATAGATATAGATATTCTATAAAAAAAATGGACTAATTAAATTTATTTATCAATTCAATAGAAGCCTAGAGAGATTAATTGAAAAGGGTCCTACATAATAAGATAAGTGAAAAATAGGTCTAATTATGCCTATTACTTATCCTCAATAGAACGGATGTAGAGATATATTTGTAGACATAATATCTATTTAGATACGCTCAAATGAACTCTTCTCATAATGAGAATGTATATAATCCCATTTCGATTAGGTCCAATATAAAATTGAACTTAGAATCATGGAATCGACTCAATCATTGAATTTTTTATTCTAAGTTCATATCCTTAGCCCATTCTCATTTTGGGCGAAGCATATTTCCTAACTCTTTTATTCCTGTTAGTAAGGTAAGAGTTGACCTAAGAAATAGATTCTAGAAGCTAAAAAAAGTTATCCTGAGCAATTTCAGTAATAAGGTTCAATGGTATTCCAGGTATAGTGGATGTTATCACACATACAATCATACTTAATTCGATGGAATTGTTTAATCTTCAAGGGGATCTTCTATAATTTTGCACGTGAGGAGTTATTTCTTGTTTTTGTTAAGTCATTAATAACATGATTATTTTTAGATAATAGTAGATAGAAACAACCCTTGTAAGGAGTCCTTTCTAAACTAAGAAATATAAGCCTGCTTGTCACCCATACTAGAATAAATGCAGTTTTCCAAAAAAAATCTGCTAGTGAAGGAAGACCTCCTAAGGATAAGAGACACAAGGCTAAAGAGAGAGTCAAATAAGGATTTTTTGTGTACAATCATGCATAATCTCAAATGTTATCAGTTTTGGTACGTAGACCAAATGATACAATGCAATCAAAAGTTCCTAGACTTATCGAGATATAGAGTAACATAGAAGTTATCCTACTTGTATATCCACCATTGGAGTTAAATGTGCAAGGAACCAAACTCCTAACACATTTGCAATGTTCTTGGCTTCCAAAAGAAAAAACTTAAGGAATCAATACTTGATATGTCTTTTGATACGTATGATAATGAGATTGATTCATATGCTTGAATTTCTTTTTTCTACAAAGAACACAAGAAGAATCTAATTAAATTAATACAAAGTATGGCTAACAATTATAGACTTTTTGAATTGAACTTACATATGTTCCCTCGCTTCATCACTCACAAATGCTTCATTAGCATGTTCATATGTTACTATCCATACCTTTCCTCTACCAACCTTGTAGCCACACTTTTTTTTCCTATAAAAGTGAAAAAATAT